GTTTTCAGCTGTTCCCGCCGGCTCAACTGTTGTACTCTTTTAACACTAACCTCACTAGCCTTGTTTGACTGCTACTTTAACAGGCGTTTCTGAGTACATGTGATGCCCTCTACGGGTAGTGGTTGAGTTTGTCTTGAATCAGCTGCTTTTTTGTCGTTCGTTTGTGGATTTTCATTTGATGAAAGCTGTTGACTTTAATAACGAAGTGGTAAAATTAATAACAATTTAAAAACACTAAAAAGAAGCATTATCAAGTTCAAAGTAGTAGGTGTTCTTGAAAAAATTTTTTTCAAGAAGTCCAGGCATCGGTTTTAGATTAAAGTTTACAAATGTTAATTTATTTGAATATATTTTGTCGTTAACTATTTAAATGGTTTATTTTAGATTCAGGAAATTCGCATCCATTGTTCGTTTTACTCAAGGTCGCAAGTGAATGGTAACGAATTGAGTGAAACAGCAAGCTAAATCAGGTATTGAGATGGTGGGTGCCAAGACCAACAGGATACCACGGTACTTCTTAAAATGCTTGAGTCAGAATAAGTACGGTAAGGCGAAGAAGTCAGATTTAGTTGCGATTTGCTTTAAAACGTGAGCTGCTCAAAACTAGTCAGGCATACATAATGTCTTTCAGTGCACCCTTCTAGCCGGCGCAAAGTTTTTGCAAGGCTGAATGGTGTACAGGCAGTTTCAGCCCACGGGATCGAACCTTTCAGGCCATAGTGGGGATGCCTGAATATCTGATTCTGGTACTTGCGAACACACAAAGGAGAAATCTTCCCTTTCATTTATACTGTGCGTCTATCTGACTTATCTAGTTAATTATAATGCAAAATAAATGGAGTTAATAAGCATTTACCTGTACCAGCAAATTTCATACTGGACTGGGTGGCGAGGACGTGAAATCCAAGTTGCAGTTGTGGAGGAATGTGTTCGACAGTAGTCTTCCAGGGGAACTATTAGATGAAACTGGCAGTGGACACGATTAGAAATCACAATATCAGTCCATTGCTTCCTCTGTTGCCTGATTAAACTGTCAATAAATGCAATCCATTTGAGCTCTCGTCATCTCGCGTTACTATCTATTAACCATAATATTATTTAACTGCTTTAATACCGAAGTTATTTTGATGGATCAAGAATTGCCACGATCCCGGTACCAAGGCAGAATTTCTCATCCATAAAATGGGAGGACAACTACACCAGTTTTGATGCTGCCCACAGCTGGCTCACCACCTTGATATGCAACAATGTTTTGTTGAGAATCTTGCTCCGTATTTAATGTTGATTGCACACTGCCAGAATCCGAATTAAACTATTTCAATAATTAGATGAAACTGACTTTATTTAAGCGTGCATATGTTTTGTAAATTTTAGTTTACAACCAGTGCCTAAATACCTTTGAAAACTTCTTAGAGGAACACCTGTTACTTTGAAAATTATTGTGGTCACTTAAAAGCAGCTTTATCAAGTTTCGGTAAATTTAAATTTTCCGTTTCTAATACCGTTACGGAGTTGTGTGAGAAATGAGCTGCAGCGTGTGTTATGCGGGATTTGTGTTGATATATCAAAGACAGGTTCGTGTGGGCAAGTTCTTAGCGTAAATATTATCGTGTCTGATGGGTGATAGGGTTGATATGATTATAAAAATTGTAATAAAAGTTACATCTCTTTTTGTAAATCTTGCAGATCTATTTTTGAATAAGTAGATAATTCTTAGTCCTTTTAACTCTTATAAAATATGATGTACCTCAGCCGGTAGGGCACAACACTTGCACTCGAAAGATCGCTGATTCATTTCCTTATAACGTTTCCTTAAATAATTTGATGACATCAACCAGCCGTTATCGTCCCCCAGAACATATTCGATCCATCGATTGCCAACGTAATTGGTGCCATGAAAACTGCTCGATAGGAGGGAATTCATGATTGAATCCTGAAATGATTATCAGTTTCAATCCAAGAAATTCGGCTTGGTTTTCCGACCCCCAGAAAAATTTCCCTCTGTACTTCTTCCATATATGTTAAACTCTATGCAGTTATAAAGAGAACACCTACTTTTTATTATTCATATTATCTGCTTAACTATGAAAAGCACTGAAGTGTTAAGTCAAAAATTTACATTCTCCAATAGCTACTCTAGTTGTCACAGACAAAGAATAACAAACTGTCTTTGTCGAAACCCAAAGTGTTTCACATATGATTAGCGCAAAGTTGTACCAAGGTTGCCGTTTGGAGATTAATTATACTTTCTACGATGCAGTAGCCGTCGCGTCATAGCGAAGGTGTTCAAAACTGAGGACGCATCGGACATCGCGAAACAGACGTGCTGATTATGCAGATGCTTACGTCGATGATCACAACTGAGAGGCTGAAGGAAGTGGGTAAGCTTTGCATCTTTCATGAGCTTCATACTTCTGTGTTCCTCGGTATTCATTACTTATGAAGCAGAAGCTCATATATAGGTTTATGCTTCATTGTAGCCAAAATGTTTTACATTGAAAACAAGTATAATTATATATTTGCAAAATTTGGTTGTAGCTAAAATTTGTAAATTCAGGGATAGGTGTATGTTCTCCAGTATTTAGGATATATGTCAATATTAGCTGCTACTGTTACTGCTAATTATTGTGACGTGTATTGATACGGATATTTCTTTTTTACTTTTGCATTCCGTTTATTTGCTTGTAGAAGCTCGTTATGTTTTCATGTGATTGTCAGTGACTCATGAGTGTTAGTAATGTCATTCACAACGAGCGTGCATTTATTTACAAGTGAAATTTAAGGTTGTACTGCCGCTCCTACGAACCGATCTGTATGATATTTGCTATAACTGCGCCAAAGGTAGCCTCCGTTCTGTGGAAATTTCATGGGCAACCAATGAGTTTGCGTGCGCTACTATGATGATAAGCAAAGGCTATCCGGGTCATTATGAAATTGGCTACCCTATTGTAGGTATGCACATTTCAGCTATGACAAAAATTGTAACCATTAATGATTTATTCTTGACTCCATCAACAACCTGTTTAATCTTTGATCTTTTTTAATGATGATATGCTCATTTGAGTCCATCCGTTACAGGTCATCTCGGTTTAAATTACTTGATGTCTTAAATGCCGAGTAGACTGAAACCTAATTACTCACTACAGTAAATCCTGTTGAATTCGAAATTCGTGGATCCGAAAAATTTGAATCACTTGATAAATATTTAATAGAAAATTTATTGAAAAAGTATTTGTATTGCACTGAATAACGAAGATATTTTATGGTAAATTTAAAAACTGTTTACCATAAACCGTGTTTACAAATAACATCGCCAAATACCACTTTAAATAAACTTTAAAACATTACACTTATGATAATAGCGATAACACAAATTACCCCGGTATTATGGCTTTACTAGTAAAACTGCTATTTTTCGATGCTGTTGCCGTAGGATCTCCTCTATGTTCATTGGATTCCCACGGCGTATTTTGTTCGCCGGATAGCGTTATCAAGAATTGTCGCATTGTTAATCATAGAACACTGATCATAAATCGCTTCATAGGTCATCAGCGGCTGAACCACCGAGCAGTGATCATGTTTAGGTCAGTCGAATTCCATTCTGAAGCTACATATTCCACTGGCACCGTGGTTATTCTTCATGCATTCGCAATCAGAATGACGATGTTAGTTGGATATAATTACTATTATATGATTTGGGCATGTAAATGATGAATATTTGGGATTCACATGGAGCGAAACCGTAACTAAACAATTAAAGATCTGGTTTTGACTCTTCTCTAGGTCATGCTTCCATGCGCGGGGATTTGGTGATATGCCGTAAGTGCAGTTTTACCCAGCGTAAGTCAACTTCTGTGTAGGCAAATTGCCTGTCTCCTGTGTGCTACTGCATGTACTGCTGTAAAGATAATT